GGTGCAAAATAGCATCGAAGTTTTGCAAAATGCAATTATTCCAGTTAGTTCACGTGCAAGTTGGCAACGTATGCATGTTTCTAGCTTCAACAAACAAAATCCGCAGCTATGGTTTGCTCAACTGGAGCGAGCATTTCGACTCAGTGATATCACATCAGATATCGATAAATTCGACTGGGTTACGATTCATCTGGAGCACGATATTTTGTTAACTGTCGAAGATCTTATAACACAGCCGCCCGCAGATAATCGCTACAATATTCTCAAAGGCAGGCTCCTGGCAAAATATTCTGAATCGGCGGAAAGTAAGCTGCGTCGCCTGCTGCAAGGTGGAGACACTGCTGGAATGAAGCCGTCTGAAATTTTATCGCACATGAAACGACTCGCACCTGACCCGGGGAGTGCCGCAGTCATACGAACATTGTTTTTGGGACAAATGCCTAGTTCGGTTCGACCTCTGTTGACTGTGTGGAAAGAGGATAACCTCGAGCAGCTAGCGCAAATCGCTGACAAAATGTTGGAAGCGGTTAACTCGAACTCCATCAACATGATAGCTACACACGGGGCTGAGTCGTATGCTCAAGCCCCCACAGTTAATGCCATAGCTAACGAGAATACCCCATTAACAGAAATCGCTAGCACTCTCAAATCACTTGCCGTTGCTGTTAAACAACTTCAAAGTGATGTCAAAATTTTGAAACGAAATCCATCTCAACGATCATCATCCAAGGGTCGTTCTCCTAGCCGTAATACACCAAGTACTAGTGACCAAGCTGAAGCTGCTCATGTATGATTTTTTCATTCAAAATTTGGCGACAAAGCACGTAAATGTCGACCGAATTGTACATACCAAAAGTCGTCAAACTAGAACAGCTGCTGCCAGTCACGCTGGGGGGCAGCAGCTCCATTACACCCAGCAGCCAATCAAACCAAAACGACAATTCTTTGCGGGAAACAAGACTACATATTTACGATCGCCTCAATCGTTTTCAGTTCCTCGTGGATTCGGGCTCAGTGGTTTCTGTCATTCCACGTAACTTCGTCAAGACGGCAGTTAAATCAAAATCATTTCAACTCTATGCAGCTAATCAAACAGCAATTCAGACCTACGGAAACCATGTGTTACAACTGGAGCTGGGATTGCGACGAGCATTTAGTTGGCCGTTTATCATAGCCGACACACACACA